TTTGAGGGGATTGAGTCTCCTTTTTCACATCTTAAGAATAGTCTTTTATCTTTGATCGCTTTTTGGTGCACTCATATAGCCCCTATTTGTATAGAAGATTGGGCGTCTTTTGTAGAGAATCATGTTCTGATGTAAATTCTCTACTTTTTGGTATACTTCTTGTATACGGGAGTTCTCTCCCTTTTGATTAATACAATTTACCTTATCAAAAAAAAAAAAGCTCATTTCACGGCCATCATAGACTGTCCACTTTGTCCTGATTAACTGTGAAGATATATTTTTCAGACTGCTGGCTTTGTCCTAATTAACTATGAAGATAGGATGCCTAACAGTCCATCAAATACTGTATCCAAACAAGCATGATGACATACTCTTCTTCTACATAAGTGTTAGAGATATTCGTAGAATCTTGGACTAACTTTGGAGGGAGAGCAAGAAAAGATCGCTATGCAATCTGGATATCGCAAATTATCGAGAAAGACTATACTTGTTTGAACTTTGAAGTATTTTACTGGCTTTATGTATTACTCTTCCTTACATAATGGGGGCAATCTCTATTTCTATTACGAATCTGTTGCTTTTATATGTGTTACTAGTTATGCGTTTGCTTCAGGAGGCCAATATTTTGAGAACACATGCGTTAAAGTGGGTAATTCTCACTTTCTGCATTTTAAATTTTTCCCTCTTGGCCATCCAACTTATGTCACTAGAGATTCTAGCCTACTGCCTTGGTTTAGTTCATGTCATGTAACATGGCTTTCTGAAAATGTTTAGTGTCAAATCATTCATTGGCTAATCAAATTTGGTTGCTCAAAGAGAAATTTTAAGGAAGAGCCACGGAACCAGTTTTGCAACTGCATTTTATTGCCTGGTATCTCTTAGGATTTTGTGTATAAAGCATGAAACAAGCTGTCAATACATATTGACTTTAGTTTATTACTATGCTTTCTTAGTGTATGGCAAAGCTACTGGCGAGGTGGCACTTTGATTTCACCTCTTACCTCTAATGATACAAGTTCTTATGATTTCACTACCTGCAGGATTCCTAAGGAATACATACCTATCAGAAGACCACATGTTCAAAGGTAATAAAACTATGTAATCAATGTCAATCTGGTATCAGTTTGGTCCCTTTCCATCCTTTTAACTAATATATTTCCAGATATATGCCTAGGTTTTGTTAATCGAAACCACTGGACAAAGCCATACAGTTATATCAACAAAGACTTATTACTGTAAGAACATCAAAAGCTGGTTAAAATGCCGATGCACTCTCCAACCCTGATCAGTGAGCATTTGGTAATTACACTTTACACTTCACACTTTTTATACTGTGGTCTTTGAGTTTTAGATATTGACTGAGGGCATTATTGTGAGGTTATTTGTCAATAAACAATAGCATGAAAACGGCATGTGCACATCCAGTACCTTTCTCCTCTGTGTCATCTGGCATTCTCGTTTTATATTCTGTTAGGCAAGACCCTGGAAATTGCTACAATTAAGACTTGAGGATCATTGCCAAAATTTTAAATAAATGGGAATTAAATTGTGTGATGCCTATGATTTGGGACCGACTGTGCAATTATCCTAGATGAATTCACTGCACATGGAACTAATGGTTGCTGTATCTGAAATCAACTGCTTTTTGGGTGGAGAGGTAACAAAGTTAAAGAAGTTCCATTTTATTCATCTAAACAGATAAATCGTTTTAGGAAATTCTAAATATCGGGTGTCTCATGCATGCAAGTTTTAAATTTCAGTAAGATTGGAGAGCAAAATTAAGCGTTTGAAATTCTGTATCTTGACGATTGATATCAACAAGAAACATTCAATTGAAGAACGAGATGGAAGATAAACATGCAAGATGTGATAAAGGTTGTCAAAAGAACTCACGCCTGACACCACAGTGGAAACACGGCCCTTCTCGTCCCATGAGATGTGCTTGCAGAGGATTCAGGTTTGAGTATGCTGCTGCTAATCGTTAAGCATCCAAAACTGTTGCCAAAGCTTAAAAACATGAGTGAGAACACAAAGTAACCAAATGGAAAAATGAACGGAAAATAAATTCAGTAGCTAACAGCTGATCGTTTCCGTGGCAATAGATTATAGCTTTGTCATTAACTACTATCCTATCTGCAATAGTACTATACTCCTCTATGGACAGCTCATCAAATTTTACTCGAGAACATTTTCTCAAAAATTGACGCGATAACTCCAACAGGAAGAACTTAAAAGCTCTTAGATGTGGTAAATCTTACCAAGCCTTATTACCAATGAATCTGAAGGCAAGAAACTATAGAAAGTTTTTAGACTTTATTTAAATGATAGAGTTGAGCAAATAAACAGAGGTGAAAAGACAATGCTGAGCTTAGTATTCTGGAAATTCTGGTCTGATTGAGATTTGAAAAATCCAAGGAGAAAGGGCCACAAATTACATTACTAAACAGATTCAGAAAAGAAAGAATGTATTCAATTTCATTCCAATTCTGGAAATTGTAGGAATCAGATTTAGATTTGAAAAATCCAAGGAGAAAGGCCCACTATTACATCACTAAGCAGATTCGGAAATGCATTCAATTTCTTTCCAATTCTGCTTCTGCACTGTTTCCTTGCACCAATACACAGGTTGATAACCTTTCTGCCTAGTGTTGTGATTGGTCTGGTTGAGAGAACTGCAGGTGAGAAGAGAAACTGGATACAGGTCACAGAGACTTAGATATACATTCATAATTGGTAACGAAACCTCATTTCTTGAAGCACATTCAGAAAACATAAATATAAGCACGGAGCTGGTTTTTTCCGTGTTAATTTTCAGAAAATTTAATTGCTGATACTTTTGGGTCATGTTCACCTCAGCTATCTGCAGTTTGCAAAGGCTCAAGTGTTTTAGTGACTTCCTGACCTTGAAGGTTCTCTCTCAGGAGGAACTTACTGCAACTTCTGATGTCCCAAGAAGTGCTTTTGCAATCTTTTTCCGTAACACGATATGACTTATGTGCGCAAGAATGCCCCTGCTATTCAATTACGAATCTATGCTTAGTTCAACACAGTCTTGTATGTCGCCGTTTTCGAAATTTCATGCGTCTAGCATATTCATGTTTTTTTTTTGGTTTCCCACCCGGTATCCGGTACCCGCATTGGAGCCCGACTATATCCGGATTCGCGCCGCGTAGGACCCCATTCGGGGGGAAGCGCTCCCTACCAAGAATTTTTCCATACCCAGGGCTCGAACCTCTGGTTAAGGGAAGAGCAGTCTCATCCACTACACCACATCCTTTGGTGGTAGCATATTCATGTTATTAATGTTGTTTCTCTAACTTGCTTACAGAAATAAAAATATTTATTTCAGAAATGCATTGCATATCCATGCTATATAATGATATTTTTGCCTGCTCATTTGGTGTAGCATGATCCTATACAGGTGAGGCACTTCCAAAATTTTGATATATTTTGGTAATAGCCTCCGCTGCATGTATGGAGAAACTTAACTCTTGTGGTTCTTAACAATTTAGGCTACTATCTCAGAAGTTAAGAAGCTTTTTGGTGTCGTTCATCCTTGGTAGCAAAAATGTGTTTGTCCTTGTTTGCCTGATTTAGAAAATTAAGGATTCAGGCGAATAATTGTCTGAAGTGTATGCTGTAGGCCTGACCTACTACAACTTTGTAGCTACAAGTTCAATATGGTGTACGTGGGGCAGTTAAGAATGACTATTCCATTGAGTATGATTTGAACTAACTCCAATGCGAAGGTGCGACACGAGGAAATTTTATCATCCATGTTGTTATTTGTTATCCAGATGTCTTTCTTATGGTGCTTACTCTATATTTCATCATATGCTTATGCAATGTGGATTTGCAAAGTTTAGCAAAGTTCCTCTGCACATTCTCCATCAGGTTCTTGCCCAGCTTCAAGATAGTGTATTTTCCAGAAGTAATACAAGTGTGCTTCTCAGAATCACAGGCTCACCAATATCATGCAACATCCTTGGTATCATTGACCCCTGCTCTAATTGAAGTAAAAAAGGGCAGCCCGGTGCATTAAGCTCCCGCTATGCGCGGGGTCAGGGGAAGGGCCGGATCACAACGGTCTGTTGTACAGAGCCTTACCCTACATTTCTACAAGAGGTTGTTTCTATGGTTCGAACCCGTGACCTCTTGGTCACATGGCAGCAACTTTACCAGTTACGCCAAGGCTCTCCTTCCCTGCTCTAATTGAAGTGGTTGATGATTTTACTTGTTTTGTTGAATGGGCACATATATTCATTCTACAAGAAACAAAAGGTACATATCCTTTGTAAAATTGCACTACAAGAGTAGGCTTTAGGGGATGTCCAGTATTTCTAGCTTGTAACATGCTTTGCTGCTAGAAGAAGACACAACTTAATAATTTCACTTAGAATTGAAGCTTAAATTATTATCACTAAGAGCTGCTTCGTATAAATTCTAGTAATTAGTACATGTAACAAGTAGCACTCATTGGTCCTCAAGGTAGTGTTCGCTTTAGTGGTTCGATTATCAAGCCACTTTGTGGAGTAAATAACTTCTAGTATATAT